TTCCATTCTCCACTTTTCAAACCGTTAACATAACCCGTCCCTCGTGACTTATCGGCGACACAAGAGAAGGATTGGCTACTGTTCTTGACCCTTGGTACCCCCGCAGTGTCATTTGGGGCCCAGATAGCTGAATCACGCTAGGGTGATTTCCCTAGTTCCCTCTCGATTACATTAACGCCACGGACCCTCGATACCTCCTCGACGTCCGAGTTTTCACAAAACACTTATCAAAAAAAAAAAAAAAATCTTTCCCAAAACCCCTTTCATTTCAAAACAATTCTTTCCTATTTCTTCTTTACCCAATGCTATGCATGAATGCATCATGCTTTTCCATGTCATGTCAATGACCACTATCATACATCTAATTTAAGTTCAAGTCACATAGCATAATTTTACAAGAACTCCTAAAGAAAATATCATGCTTTCACATCATGAAATTTGGCAAATTCTAAACATAATAGGCATAAAATATTGTTGATTCATGGTTGATCAAGTGTTTTGCACTTTAAATGTGTTATAACATGTGTCTTGTTGATGAGAAGGTACAACATTATCAATGAGCTGTCAAGGCTACTTACAGGGTAAAGAAGCTCATGGTTTAGCACTTACAGGGTTCGGCACACATGGTTCAGCACTTACAGGGTTCAGCACTTAAAGGTTCAGCAAGAGGGCTGCCAAGGGATATCAAAGGTTCATGAGTTTCATATATTTATACAAGCTGCATCAAAGTTTTCTGATGTATCTATTAAAGAGCATTTCTGTTATTCTGCAAATGGTCTCAAGGGTATCCTAGTTAATCCATAGTGCTGAGACAATTAGAGATCCTCTACAGATGGTGCATTGTATGAAAAGGTTTACAATTGTATAATAATGTTCAGCATTTCCTAGTTTACAACAAGTGTCAGCTGAAGGGGTATTTGTGAGAGATTGTATTTGAAATGTATTGCAAGAATACACCACTGCCACGTGGCATTGTGGTCTTGCAGAGAAAAAACTATATTCTCAGTTCATTGGCCATTGTAAGAGAGTCTTATCTATAGTAGGGCTGAAATGAGGACCCTATAAATATGCTGTTATAACATTTGTGGAAATGATGTCTCTTTGTGTGAAAAAGCAAGATTTCAATAGCTGAGAGAGTGTTCTTTTCGAGAGCTGAGAATGAGTAACAATTTCTGTGATATTTCATAATAGTTGAGCTACAATGATTCATAGAAATTTGCCAAAGAAGGAACATAGTTATAGTAAAGATTAAGAAGGTTGTTTAGAGCTGATTTCCTGGTGCAAGAGGTGGCTGAAGTGGTTCAAAGTTGCTGGGGTCGTTTCTGGAGCTTGAACAAGGGCCGAGCATACATATTTTGGTGATATACAATAGCTGAAGGTGCCTGAGACTACATATTAAGGCTAGTATTGAATATCATATCTCATATGTCTAGATAATCTTGATTTTCTGGTTTAAGCTATTGAAACTGAACTTAAAGCTATAACCATGCTATATTATGATTGTTTATCATCTGATCATGCTTAATATGTTGATTTAAGATTGTTCAAGTTGAGGTTTGGCTTGAGGAATGACCTGCTTTTTTTTAAGATTGTGAACCATACTAGTTTCAGCATTATAGCAGTTTTGAAAATCTGGTTTGGGTGTGAAAATGAGATATATTGCTGTTATGGATGTGATATTCAACTAAGCATGTTTATATAGTTAAAATACATTCGAGTGAGTCGAAATCCAGAGGCTGATTGTGTTGAAATACGAAGATTACCCTCAGAACAGTGTTGCTGCAGAATTTGCCTTGTGAAGTTCACTTTGGACTGTGATTTGTTATTTCTTTGATATAAACTGTGAAGTGAAAATTGGGGCATGTTTAATATGTTGATTGAAAGTTTTGAGAACTGAAACAAGGAGGTCCAGCCACAAAGTTACAAATTTACCCCTTAATCCAGAAATTACAGATTTGAAAAATGCACCTGCTGTGAAGTATTTGTTTGCTGTGTTTTGAGCTGCTGCGCAACACTATTATTGATATAACTTGTACTAGCTTTTGTACAAGTGTTATCCATCATGTTTAAACTGTAGGAGCCTTTGATTGTAGAGAATTTGAATTATTACAAGGTTGTGTTTTGCCTATGCTGAAAACTAACATTGAAGACCTGATATTGCTACTGTGAATATAAATTGTTGATAACCTTACTTCTTAATTTGTTCTAATCAATTGAGCAAGTGTATTTTGCCTATTGAATAATGGGGGAGTATAGTTTGGGGTGCTCTTGAAGCTGAATTACAAAGTTACCCTTGTGAGCTTAAAAGTTAGGGTTTGTTGACACTAAGGCTACTTGGGAGTGTTTATTGATATAATTTGTTGTTTAAATTGTTTTCTATAATCAAGCAAGTTTACTTTAATGATACAAGGTTGTGGGAACCAAGTGTAAGCCTGAAATGAAGCTACATTGCAGAGTTGCCCTTTGAAGCCTAAAGCTAGGGTTTGGGGAACAACAAGACTGTTGTGTGCTATCTTTATTATATCTTGTTGGTTTCACTGAGTTTATCTCTTAAGCAAGTGTGTCTTAGCTACTGAGAGTTGTGGAAGGCAATTGCAGGCCATTCTTGGAGCTGCATTGTGAAGTTACCTTTATACCCTTGAACTTAGGGTTTTAGCCTTTTTGGGAGCTATTTTTGTTCTACCTTGCTTATTTACTTGTGTATTCCATACAAGCAAGTGTATTTGTTTTATTCAAGGCTGTGGGAACCTAGTTTGATCATCAAGTTTTGACAATTGTATCCACCTTGTTGCAAAGAAGTGAAGCTATGGGTTCTTTCATTTGATACTTAGAGCTGAATATTCATTCTTATCTTGTGTTGCAACTTAAGTATATTGTACCTGGTGTGTTGACACTTTTATTATATTGTTGATTAAGCTATTAAGAGCTGTAAGTGTCCAAGCAAAGGGGCTATGGACTGGGGGAGTACTTGTGTGCACATTGTTGAACTTGTGTGTGTGTAGAGGCTGTGAAAGTCAGTGTCCTAGTGAGTATAAGGTGGTTGGAAAATGGGGCAGCTGAGTGAGTAACTACTTGCATGCAGCAAGTGAAGATGGTGAGCTAGTGAGTGTGAATTGGTTATGAAAACTAGTATCTATTCTTGTACAAGGGTGTGCGCAGTGAGTGAGATAGCTGAGTGTGTAATAAGGTTCATACTACTAGTGGAAGCATTTATTGGCTGAGGCCAAGAACCAAGGTTTTTCCCTATTGATAGGGTTTCCTTATATATCTTGTGTCCATGTGATTTGACTGTTTGCATTGATTTTATCTTCTATATTATGCATGTTTATACTCAAATGAAAAAGAGAAGAAACTATCTAAGACCAATTCAAACCCCCCTTCTTGGTCTAACAAATATTATCAATTAAGCATGCTTTTCATATAAATCAACTATTACACATAGTCATGAACTTCATATACCACATTTAAATCATTTTAAGGATAATCAATATGAATTAAGTATGCTTGACAACAAATTACATAGAATTAATTCACAAAAGTACAAGAATGTATAGATTAGAGACCCCTACCTCAAGAAGGAAAAAAACCCCCAAATTATGCCTTAGAATTCGAAATCTCTAAGGTGCACCAAAGCTGAAATTGTTTATATCAATGTGAAGATCTCACCGAGCTCTTAATTTTGCTGCAATGTGAAGATCTCATCGAGCTTTCGTTTTGCCACAAACGGCACCAAAAATTCCAAGGAATGAGAGATTAATTGAAGATTGAAACTTTGATGTGAAAAAAAAAAAAAAAAAAAAAAAGAATGAGAGGGAGAAGAGAGCTCACAAGGAGAGAGAGAGTTTTTGAGGCCAAAGTGGCTTTTAGGCCACACAAAACATGTTAGTGGTAGGTCCCACCACTAATAATCCCATTTTCATTTTCTTTTAATTTTATGCATATATATACATCATTTAAATCATAACCACACATATCATTTAAATAATATAATTATGCCTAAAATAAATGCACATGATATGCAATGGACCCAAAATAAAATCCCCATACACTAAGATTTTGGTAACGGGTCCCACACGGAACCGTCCGGCTCGAAAAACAAAAAAAATGCCGAAATGACAATCTTTGCATTTCAAAGAGTTCTAAACTCAATGAAATGCCCCAACCAACTCTTGAACATAATCAGCACACTTCATGGTATCCGGTACACAAAACGAGAAAGACGAAAATGCTCTTGCGAAAACAGAAAAATTTCAAAAAATTAAAAATGACGAAATTCAGAAACATTACAAATACACTGGTCAAAGACCCAGTTATATATACTGTATCTATATATATAAATTATATATAAATAAAATATAAATTTTTAACCTTCCATAATTTTTACTATTTGTTTACTCAATTGGAGGAAATGGTTGCACTATGCAACTGGAGGTGATCCTTCACCATTTTTGTCCGTATATGAACACTTTTGAAATCTCTAAATAAGTGCATTGATCGGCCGCTGAGTGGTGTTAATCCAAACCTCAGGGAGTATGAGTGCAAATTATCCTAAAATATAATATATTTTTTCCTAACTTTCTATTTCACTTGAATTAAATTACAAATTTTATGATTTATAAATATGATTAAATTACGTACAATAATAATAGTCATTTGCTAGGGTTAAAATAGGAATGAAAATAGACATTTTTTAGTTATTCAAATTTGGCGACAATAACTGCGGAGTACAAAAAAATAATAATAATAATAAGAAAATAATAATAATAATAAGATAGTGGGTTAGATGATGACACGCTAACATACCCGGGGCACATAAATGGCCAGGATCCTCCCAACACAAGATCCAACATGATTGGTTAGCTCTATCCGTCGTTCAAATTTGATTGGTCCACGTCATCACAAATGACATGTCCGTTAAATTTCACTTGCCGTTCTAAACCAACGTGTTTACCATTAAACCGGACACTCGTACGCAAATCCCTCTATAAAAACTCATTTCGACACTCGCGTCTATACCGAAACCCAAGCCCTTCCATTTCCTTCGTTGAAAGAAAAAATAAAAATAACAGAGACACTCTTCCTCTGGCTCCGTTTGATTCTCTGCTTGTTTGTCTATATATACACTGTTGTCTATATAGAGAGAGAAAGTAGAGAGGGAAGACTGAAGAAGCCATGGCTGCCTCGTGGAGGAGCAGCGGGTCTCTTTTCGTACTAGCAATCGTATTCTTCGGTAAAATGCTACTACTACTATCTTCGCTTATAGATCCGATCGATTTTATTTCCTCTGAATTGATCTGTTTCAGTAGGTTCTTATTGTTGCTGTGTTGTTGATTCACAATAGTTCAGATCTGACACAATTTTCAGTTGAAGTTATATCTGAACTTGTCTATAGATCTGCAGTTCTTATACAATTTCTTGATTTGTTTTCGTTGGATAGTAAGTAGATTACGATGTATTTTCAAATTTTCTGATTGATTTATGATCGATTTAGTTAGTTTGAGTGATCTTGAAGAGACAGTGATCCAACGATTGTGACAGTAGTTATTTAACAGTAATTGCATTTAGTAGAACATTGCTATTAGATTAGAACCTCCTTATTTAGATCTTGATAAAATTTGAAACAAATTTGCAAGTTGCTAATTTTCACTTCTTGTTTAGAAATGTCTTTTAGTGAAAAATATCACACTGATTGATCTGATAAACCTAAAACTACCATCTTACAAGTCATATATACTCTATTAGTGTCTTAATTAATAGGTTTATTAAGATTTTGTTTGTCTCCGGCTCCAGTTGTGCTACTTAATTGTCACCTAATAGGGAAATAACATATGTTTATAGCTCACATGTGTATGGACATAGGTTATAGTGAAATTTTTACTCATCAGAAGTTCTTAATTGAAATGAATTTTGTCCAACAGGTTGTCTTTCTGCAATTTCCATTGCAAAAGAGGAGGCCTCAAAGTTAGGGACAGTTATTGGGATAGATCTTGGAACGACCTATTCTTGTGTGGGTGTTTACAAAAATGGTCATGTTGAAATCATAGCGAATGACCAAGGAAACCGTATTACCCCATCATGGGTTGCTTTCACCGACGGTGAGAGACTGATTGGTGAGGCTGCCAAGAATCAGGCAGCAGTCAATCCCGAAAGGACCATCTTTGATGTCAAGAGACTTATCGGAAGAAAGTAATGCATCTTTCTTGGTTTGTTTATATTGAAATCATTTGAGTTTGTGGAGGAGCAATGGTTATTGAAGCTTTTAACAATTATTATTTGATAGGTTTGAGGACAAGGAAGTTCAGAGGGATTTGAAACTTGTCCCTTTCAAGATTGTGAATAAGGATGGGAAGCCTTATATCCAAGTCAAAATTAAGGATGGAGAGACAAAGGTCTTTAGCCCTGAGGAGATCAGTGCTATGATTCTAACTAAGATGAAGGAGACAGCTGAAGCATTCCTTGGCAAGACCATCAAGGATGCTGTGGTTACAGTTCCGGGTAAGTGTCACAATGATAACTTGATATACTCCTTCCACTTTGAGAGAAACTCTATTGAAGTTTTGTGTCTATAATGTTGCTTATCTTCCCCATTAATGTGATCGGCAGCATACTTTAATGATGCTCAGAGGCAAGCTACCAAGGATGCCGGTATTATTGCTGGGCTGAATGTTGCTAGAATTATTAATGAACCAACTGCTGCAGCCATTGCCTATGGCTTGGACAAGAAAGGTGGTGAGAAAAACATCCTTGTTTTTGACCTTGGTGGTGGGACATTCGATGTCAGTGTCTTGACAATTGATAATGGTGTTTTTGAGGTTCTTGCAACCAATGGAGACACTCATCTAGGAGGTAAGAATTATACTTGTTATCATTTTATATGAAAATTCTTAGATTGAGCGATGCTATCATGAACTGCAAACAGTTCATTCCTTTAGTCAACAGAAAAGTCTTTGAAGGAACATTTTGAGGATATCATGCATTTGATTGTATGCTAAGGTTTTTCAAACTGCAGGTGAGGATTTTGACCAGAGGATTATGGAGTATTTTATCAAGTTGATTAAGAAAAAGCATGGAAAGGACATCAGTAAGGACAACAGAGCTCTCGGGAAGCTAAGGAGAGAATGTGAGCGTGCCAAGAGAGCCTTGAGCAGCCAGCATCAGGTCCGGGTGGAGATTGAATCTCTTTATGATGGTATGGATTTCTCTGAACCACTAACCCGAGCTCGGTTCGAAGAGTTGAACAACGATCTGTTCAGAAAGACCATGGGACCTGTGAAAAAGGCTATGGAAGATGCTGGATTGGAGAAGCGCCAGATTGATGAGATTGTTCTTGTTGGTGGAAGCACCAGAATTCCAAAGGTTCAACAGCTCCTGAAGGACTACTTTGATGGGAAGGAACCCAACAAGGGTGTGAACCCGGATGAGGCAGTTGCTTTTGGTGCTGCAGTACAGGGAGGCATCTTGAGTGGTGAGGGTGGTGACGAAACCAAAGGTAATATTTTCCGCTAAGTTATTTTAAAGTTGATTAAACATTTTGCTGGAGAAGAGCAATTGAACACCCCGTCTAATGATTGATGCTTAATGTGTGTATGTGACACGCTCTATGCAGATATCCTTCTCTTGGATGTGGCTCCACTCACACTTGGGATTGAAACAGTTGGTGGGGTGATGACCAAGTTGATCCCTAGGAACACAGTTATCCCAACTAAGAAATCTCAAGTTTTCACCACGTACCAGGATCAACAGACTACCGTTTCCATTCAGGTACTTTTTATGCATACATGACATGGGAAAACCTTGTTCATTTGTTGCGTTGGGATGCTTAGATACTAAGTGGGTTGCTGTTGTTTTTGATACCAGGTTTTCGAAGGTGAAAGGAGTCTTACAAAGGATTGCAGGCTGCTTGGGAAATTTGATCTGACTGGAATCCCTCCAGCTCCAAGGTTTTCCTTTGTTCATTGAAATATATATATATATATATATATTGCTCCATTTGCTCTCAGGGATTTGATGGGATTTGCTCTTTTTTATTGAGCAGGGGAACCCCTCAAATTGAGGTCACATTCGAAGTGGATGCAAACGGTATCTTAAATGTCAAGGCAGAAGACAAGGGCACTGGTAAATCGGAGAAGATTACCATCACCAATGACAAGGGCCGCTTGAGCCAAGAGGAGATTGACCGGATGGTTCGAGAGGCAGAAGAGTTTGCAGAGGAAGACAAGAAGGTAAAGGAGAAGATCGACGCGCGTAACAGCCTGGAGACATATATCTATAACATGAAGAACCAAATCAATGACAAAGACAAGCTTGCTGACAAGCTCGAGTCTGATGAGAAGGATAAGATCGATACTGCCGTGAAGGAGGCCCTTGAGTGGCTGGATGACAACCAGAGTGCCGAGAAAGAGGACTATGAAGATAAGCTTAAAGAGGTGGAAGCAGTTTGTAATCCTATTATCACAGCTGTTTATCAAAGATCAGGTGGGGCTCCAGGTGCAGGATCTCAAGGAGAAGACTCCGATGACTCCGACGACTCCCACGACGAACTTTAGGAAATCCGTAGTCTTCCATTGACAATTGAAGAGAGCATGAAACGAGGATTTAGGGTTTAGACGAGAGAGAGGACTTGCTGTAATTTTGAACTCGAGGGGAAAGATCGCCCTTTTTGGGCCTGTTTTGTGTCAGGTGAAGATACTTTAAAAGGTTATTTTCTTGCTTTTTTTTTTGTGTTTAGAAAAACTCTTTTTAAAAATCTTCCTAGTGTCTTCTTGTTATGTATATAATCTTTGAGGATTGAATGCTTTCTTTGCTAAAGACGACCTCAGCTGAGGGGTTTATATGCTGAAGCCAACAAAGTAGCTCATTTGAGAACTCCAGATCTCTTTAGATGCAAACATTCTCGGAAAGGGTATTGTTTTTGCAATTCAGTGTTGTGGTGATCTAGATGATGGCTTTTAAACTATGAACCCGGATCCCCCGGTGCCATTATATCGCTGAAATGGATGGAAAAGGCTGAAATGGAAGGAAAAAAAGCGGGATGGCCATTATATCTGGGCGGAAAAGAAAGGAAATAGGGATATGGTTATCTGTATTTGGTATAAAATTTGGAAGGAAAAGATTGGAAATTTGGAAGGATTTAGATTTTAGAGGGATACGTGGAAAGAAAGGGAGAGGTAAATGTTAGCATTTTTAATAAAATTTTATCAAATTTGTGAGAGAAAATTTATGGTGGCAAATTCAAATCCCGGTGGTTAGTATTATTTAATTTCTTAGTATTATTTAATTTCTTATCTTTCGCTAATCAATCAAAAACGATAAGTACCTCACGCTATTTTCTTACCAAATATATTATTTTATATTGCCTTTAGCAAACTACACGCAACACAGGACCAAAGGATCTCCCACTGGAGGGGAATAGAATCCTTGTCAACACGAACTCTTGTAGGAACTGTGTTGATAGGAATGGCAAATTACGACACGAGTGAAAAGGGTTTGGGTTTAGCATAAATAAGTTTGGGTCATAAAAGGGTTGACACGATTAACCCGTTTACTTAACCGTGTCGGGTTAGAGTTAAGGAATTCAACCCGTGTAACCCATTTATGACCCATTTAACTCTACATGTTATAATCGTGAATATAACATAGGTAATATATTACCTGTTTAAACCCAATTACTATGGATAGTTAAGTCATTTTTTCTATTATTTAGTATTTGATTAAATATTAAATGTCTCGTTTAATAAACAGATTGGGTTAGTGGTAAAAATATTAAACAGATTGGGTTAGTGGTAAAAATTCTTGACACGATTATTAAATGGATTGAGTTTGGGTTTACATATTTAGTATAATATTCTTATATCGATACAAGCCACGAACACGAACTGCCACCCCTATGTGTGATAACAACCTGATGTACGATTCAATAAGCTCGTTAAAGCCTTCGCCTCTCAGGTCTTTAATAATGAATCCTACTGAAATGGTGACATAATTAGACAGCATATTCCTGTTGTACTTCTAATGCACAAGAATTTTGAAATTGGAAATGAAAATATTAAGATGTTATCAACCATCTGAAATCAATACAGGGTTCATAAATGACAGAAACTGTTGGTTAAAAACTGACATAAATTGTAGTAGAATGGACATACTACAAAAGAGAACTCGGGTGTTGAGGATTGGGACCAGATCGTTCCCAGTTTGATTACATTAACCAGCATGGCAAAAGAAAGTGATTAATTGACAAATTCATTTCCATCTAATGAACTCAATTTCAATTGCAAGCTTCAGGCTTTCATCTTGAAATTAGACGCCAGCTTTGGGATCACCTGACCCTGCTGCCACAACTCCCATACCGCCATCTGTTGCAACATTAACTTTTTCCCGGTCAGTTGATGCGATCATAGCAACTTTGTCACCATCAAGTTCACGTACAAGTTCGTCAATCTTGCGAAATTGATATGGCCATCTCACATTGTAGAGAAACTGGCGAAGATCAAACCTGTTGTCCTCTGGTGAATAACTCTGCATGAAACAAAATAGATATTTTTCATTGTACAATGGTTAATATGAAGAATGAACTTCAGAAATTTCAGAGCTTCAACTTTAGCTTTTAGAGATATGAGGTACCTCAGCATGATAAGAAGGTGTTAAAACAGTCATTTTGTGTCGATTAATGGAGTAGTACTTGAAAAAGTGCTTCACTTTATCAGCCACCTCTGATGGAGTCAATCTTGTCCCCCATTTATAGCAGAGATTCTGCAACAAAGACAATTTGTAAGGAAAAGAAAGCGGGAGAGATTCAAAAGCATACAAGAGAGAACTAGAATGCGGTGTACCACCTAATAGGTTTTATGACATATATTGCACCAACATAAATCTGTCCCCTATATGCCGGACGCCAATCTCTCTCACATTGGATGCATAGCAAGACATCTTGAAATTTTGATTCACCAACGTATTCCTTAATTAATGTCATGTTTGCTAGCCCATATATACCCACCCTTTCTATTTTGTGGACCCAATAAGTATTATAACTTATATCTTCTAACATGTAATAAAATCAGCATTAGATTAAGATATGCCACCATTTCTTTTATTGTTACACAATTCCTGCACATCCAACATTGGCACACTTTCTCATCCTTTCTCATCCGTGTCACTCAGATATGATCATATGCCAACATTTCTATTTTTCTGAAATTAATCTCTTAGTACTAAAGCAAACCAAGTTATGCCAGTGGATTGACTGGTTTAGATTTAATCACATTTATGGAATGACTTCTGGTTGAGGTATCAACTTGGTATTGCATAATCTTTTCTTGTCATGTACTGCAAACATTGATCAGTTTTGCAAATATTTACCAGTTTCTCTCTCCGTAAGAGAAAGTTTAAAAGTTTTATTTAAGGATTATTTCAAATTTTACAGATCAGTTCATTGTCAATGTAAGAAATATGGCATCAATTGAACAATTCAGCTCAAAGGCCATGCCTGCTTACAAGGGATAGCCTGACTAGCCTCCTCCAAAAATGGTGGCAGCTACTTCCCGAGGCATACTAACAAAATTAAAACAAACCTGGAACATAGATACTGGGCCGCAGCGGAAAATCTTGCGCAACCTTCCATAAATTGAGAGTTCCTCGTATGTCATTCCCATGTCCACTTCATCCAGCTGTTCCATGCAGCCCATAGCATAAAGGTTTAATTATAAAATCAGGAACTTTCTTTCACTAGAATTATTAGTAAGAACAATATGAACTTGCAAAAATATTTGCATTCTTTTTACAAGTGAAGAAGATCAATGCAAATCAAGCTGTCAAAAGATAATTAATGAGAGGGTAGGTAGATGGAGATGGACAGACATCAGATAGATGGTAAACAAATTATACAAAAATTATTTAATAGCAGAACTTCAAGTGACAGACTTGGAAGGAAGACATGACCAAAAACTGGATTAATCAATTCCTTCAAATTGCAGAACCCCTTCTAGTGCAATGGCAGACAAAAACTTGCCTTCAAATCTAAAGGCCCCAATCTGACTGAGAGACCTATTGTGATCTTTCGCCTTCCTTCTTAGGGGAGAAAAATGGAAAGAGTTGAAGGAAAATGTTAATAATGTGTGTCAGCTTGCTGTTTGTATACTACATGATTCCTTGACTGCTGGTGGACCATCCACACAATATGAAAAATACGAGGGTGACTAGAGATGGGAAAATCTCCAAAACAAGAACATTATTGAAAACTAAAAATAAAAGAAGAGTGAAAGGGTAAAGTCAAAGACTCTTCTTTACAATCTACATACTATATGACTAGGAACACGGCAAAAGGAATTTCCGGCATCTAGTAGAAAAAGACCATAAACAAGCAAAGGTTTTTCTTTCATAACTTAATTTTTTGAATTGATTATCTTTTCTTTTTTTTCTTTTTTTTCTTTTTTTTTAAAGGTCTTCTAATTGGAGGACCCCCCACCCATACCAGTCCCATGACACGGGTGAGATTTAAGTCGCAGACTTGCGCAACAGAGGGGATTCGAACCCACACTCGGTACATTGGATACGATTCATCTAGGTATCGAAAGACCGTCCTACCATCCAACTGCGCTACGCCCACAGGGGCAATTATCTTCATGCACAAGGATACTAGACTACCTAGTAGAAAAGATTTAATAATCATCACAAACCACCCTTTTCCTTTTCTATTGCAATTTCTGGATTATTATATGATGATTTTTAACTTTCCATATATAGAAATAGAAAGAGAAATACAAGAAACGACATCTGTTATGTCAAATGACACCAAAGGGATATTAAATGGCATGCGACAAAAATGTGTCCAAGGGAAAAAAAAAAAAAAAATTAAAAAAATCATTAAGACTTAACATTAGAGGTTGTGGCTAAACATAAATACCTGGCTGTAATTAGACCGTATGGGCTCCAGTTCAGCAGTGGGGGGAGCAGCTTCAACTTCTGCCAAAGATGAGTAACCAAGACGGGTGGCAGCCCATCGCAGAAATGTTCGAAGATCCTGCTTACTAATACTTCCAATTGGATTTATATCGGCTGAACTGCAATCATACTGCACAAGAGAAAAATAAATTTCTCATAAGGAAAAGTATTATAAAAAAGATGAGCTATTAGTAACATCAACATTATAGAGGCTGGTTTAGATTTGGCACAACTGAATGGATACCCAAGTCATAGAAGAATTTAATAAAATATCTGAAGGATTGACACATTCAGTTCTAATCAACTCAGGATACCTTTAGGTTAATAACACAATCAAGGATGGTCATATAAAAGAGTTCTAGAGTAGTTTGCCCAAGATCCAGTAATCGGTTATATCAGGTATGCAAAATCTGATATGTTAAAAACATGAAAAATCTATAATACCTTTGTTAGGTAACCACGCAATCCTTCATCTACATTGGAGCTACCTAACACCAGATAAAAACCTGATTTATTGTGAACCCAAGGCATGAGTGATGCTAACATAAATGCTAGCACCATTCTTATTCGAGCTTGAATGTTTTGCAACCCCAAGTTCTCAATGTTTGATCCTCCGTCTACCTGTGAAAACAGCACCAGATTCAACAATTACAACCAAAATGCTAATCAAAATGATGATGGTCACTCCAGTAGAACCAACGAAGTATAATGCATTCAACCTCATCAACAAGATGGCGGGCAATGTCATGTGAAATGAAAGAACAAGTTCTTGACTAGTCGCATAAAGAAAACACGACATCTAAATAACATTGATATTAGATTGTTGAGATACACATGTCAATGCTAAGATTTCAATCACTAAGGGGAATCATAATGCATCATATGAGAAAGAACTTTGGTAAAGGGCCTACTGGCAGATGATATGAAAGTAGCATGAGTATTATCACCCCATTTACCTTATACCGTGGTCGCTTTCCAGTAAGTGTTTGAAACAATGAAAGTAGGGCAGAAACAACACCATCAATGCAAACATCAAGATGCCATGAGCCAATTTCATCTGCTAGCAGTTTTGCCCTTGTTCTTGTGGTTTCAGAACTGTTAGGAGAAAACCCTGTTACTGCTTGATGATATATTGTAGAACTGAGTTCTTAAGCTTGCGGAAATTTTTGAAAAGGAAGACTTAAAATAATCAAAACAAAATTAACTTAAAAAAAAAAATGGTCAGTACTATTGTTAACAACCATCTACTCTAAAAGCTTAAGCTGTTAGAGAGGGTGTAACTTAAATATATAAATCCTCAAACACAGCCCCTCGCATGTGGCCTTCTTTTGGTCCAACGCATGTTTCAATTTAATTATTAGGGTGACGGTGAGGTTTGAACAAGATACCTTTAGCTCTAATATCATGTTAACAACCAAAAGAATAATCTACTTAAGACTTGAGACTTAGATGAACCAAATTGATAACCATAAGATAATCTACTAGGCAAGTACCAAAAGTTGATTTTTGTTTCCCCCCTTGTCCTTCATTAGTACTGGGGTTTTGCAACAATGCCAAGAGAAACATAAAATGTAGCATGCCAAGCAAAAAATTAGTTCCCCTAATGAGAGGTGTTAAAGAATGGTAAACTGTTACAGACCTAACTCTGGCATTGCATGAAGTGCTGTCCTCTTGTTAACATAAAGTTTTACCATTGCTTGGTGCAATAAGCCCCACATGATTATGTCAAGCATGTAACAAAATTAAGAGGAACTAAGGAACATCAGTTCTGTTTACCAGTGCTCACCTATTTTCAGATCCCATATATACCGTATAAAATATGCGTTTTGCGAACTCTTTGTTGTCGGTAGGAAACTGTCCATTACTATACTGGCCAATTCTTATAGCATCAGCTTTGACTTGTTCATCTCCATTTTCGATTTCTGCATGCACATGTCACAATAATCAATAAATTATAATCAGAAGATATTCAGTCATACGTAGCTGATCTTTCAAGATTGTTCATCCCCATTTCAAGATTATTTATTTATTGACAGTAAATTGTTCATCTCCATTCCAAGATTTTTCTGGTAGCTTTTGGTATTCGTGTTCTATTTCCGTAACAAAACCAGTTAGTCGTTCAGCATACATGACCAGTTGATCACCAATAGCAGTGGCAGAGAAAAACAGCATGTGTGGCATCCTGAAATGACTATTACTTATACAACAGATGCAGTATCCAGTACCTAAATAAATTAAGCATGAATTGGCCGGAAATAAACTATAAGGTACAGTACAAGAATACTGCAAAACATTTGGATAAAAGCTGACCTTTTACTACAAGCTGACACATGCAGCCAACAATAGCAGCTACAGAGGAACTATCAGCCCCACCAGAAAGTGGAAGCAGAAAACCAGAAGCTCCACTTCTTCTTAGATAGTCCCATAGCCAACAACCAGGTCCAAAAGCTATTTCCTCCTCAGGAGAGTGATATCTAATCTACAAATAAGCAAAAACTCCCAATTCAACAGATATAATCAGCAATATAGAACACCATAGAGAGATATTTGGATTGTTAAATCAAACTAATGCTTAGGCTGTCCCCTGGAAACAGGGATCATCATCCCACCACAGATCCAAAGACTTGTCAATGTGAAAGATCCATGATTTCAGAATTCTAAGTTTCTAAAACAATGTCTTGAATTTACGTAATATTAATAGTCTCAGATAATGCATATATTCACATCAAATTATTATGAGAATTTCTAGGTTTATTATGTTCACAAATTGTGACGGTATAGACTGAGCCATGATTTTTACAACCAACCCACACATGCTATATCTCTCACCGTGTTCTATTTTGTTCCAAGAACAATGGCATTTTTTTCTTCTTTCAAAAAGCACCTTCATTGCACTTAATTTAGCATATTTGAGATCTCTGAGACTCTACATAAATAGAACACAAATAGCAAAAGCTACCAGAAAAATCATTTTTCACACCCTAATCTTATTATTATACAGCTTGAAAGACTATGTGAGTCACAATCAAATGTGACTGCCAAATCCTCAAGAGGATGACGATGTTACCCAAGGAAAGAAGATTGTGACTGAGCTGTTAAAGATCAAGAAGATACTCTTTAACGGTTATGGAACATCCTAGAGCTGCTGGAAACCAAAGACTAGTTCGTATTTTTTATATATGCTACTGTGAAACATGAAATCGTTCAAAAAATGGTGTTTGACGGTTTGATAAATGAACTTTCATGAGAATTATCAATGAAACATAAAAAAGAATGTCATTGATAGGAATTTGTAGAAACAGCATTAAAAAGAATGTCGCAAGAGATTATCGGCGTTAAATCTACTAAAAACTATTTTATCATTTCTCAATTCATTTTACATAGACACTTCTTACAAATTTCATGTATATCTCAATCAATCTAAGTTGGATATGGCTCAGTAACAAATAGATGGGGCTAAAATATCAAAAATAAAAATATAAAAACAAATAAATAGGGTGACAAAAATTTAATAGAAGTTCTATATTCCTTCAGAACTGAGGACAACTATATAAATAGTGACAGAACTGAACGGAAAATGGTCCAGAGAAATATGACTTGATTACATTACATAGTACACTATGGTTGACATTCTGACGTCAAGGCAAAAAAACATACGCTTCTTAAAACAGGTCAGACCTCTACAACATCCTGTCAATTCAAAAAGTTGGTTTCAGTGGTGGTCCCAAACTCTTAGATGGTGCCCAACTAATCATCTATAGAACCACACTCCCATACCAAAAATCTGTCTAAATGATAAAGCACACTACAATTGTTTGGTTGCTGTTAGAAATCATGTCCAAAGAAAACCATGTGTTCTTTGTACTCAACTTCACATATAGAACAAGGTCTCCTTCTATAGGCATATTGTCATGGGAGAAATTATTAGACAGATGAGACACTGGTAATACAAAGTGAAAATTAGTTTTTAACCCAACATTTATTACTCATAATTTCAGGTTCCAGCTTACTCTTAAAAAGTAGGCATTTGCAAGGTGTTTGGCAATGCCACCATGTTAAGCCAGCTTCTATTGTTTTCAGAATGTCAAAGGCACAAAAAGGGTTTAATGTTTAGATGTACGCTAATAAACATCTGTGAAACTATGGAAAATTGAGAACTAGAAAATGTGAAAAATTTAGTCTTGGGATCTTTGGTTTGACAACTCCCGACCAAGAAACTGACCTTAAGCGGACTTGAAAGTGACAATTGCAGGTTAAAAGACTGACAAAGCTTGTAAGGAGCTGCTACTGATGAAACTTTTGGTTTGCAACTTGCTTGCTCTTGAAAGCTACTTATAGATCCTCTAAGACTAGCAACCTGCCATTAAGCAATGAATTGAAGAATTATAATCAGTGTCCAAACACACAAATAATAAAATAAAATAAAACAAAATCAAAAATAAAAAATAAAAAAAATAAAAAATGGTGGATTCTAAAATATCTCCAATTCAAAATAACAGAAAAATCACGACCAACACATATCCCTGAATCATACTTGATCAATTTCCTATATTAACAACATAATTGTAGCATACCGCATCTAAATCTACTTGAGCAACCACCACCTCAACATCCCTTAAAGAAAACTGTGAGCCTTGGGCAACCACATCTCCATTCACAACAACACAAGAACATCCATCTGCCACAAATAAAATAATTAACCAAACGTTGCACGGAAAATTTTATTTTTTTGATATATATTAAAAAATTTGCATGGAAGAACTTGTTAGTAGAAAGAATATAGCAACAGTAAACTAAAAAGTATATTCTGTGCATGTTAAGCAAGGAAGCATTTGATATTTCATACTCAGCAAAAATGCTCACAATTAAAACTTAATGAATGATAGGTCAACAAAGGGCATGTTATCTACCAAAGTAAAGGCGGCCACCGTCACATCCTTGTTGATTACTGTACATGTAAACTCCTCCACGAGTATGAGTAGCACCTAAAACAGCACGGAGACGAAGATCAAGTTTTCTTAGTTGGTGATGACTTCCACTAGCATTCATAAACACTTCAACACCATTCAGTGCAAGCTCAGCATGAAGAGGAACAGGACTAAAAAGCTCTTCACAAATTTCAGCTGCAACAGCTCTGGCAAGAAAATAAATCTTAAATATTAAGGCTCATGAAATGTGGAACAAAATTAATTTCCACAACTGATAACCCATTGGTGCATATATCCAATGCTATCCTGATGTGTGCTTAAGCTTGAGTTTGCACCGAGCCAACAATAATTCAGGCACATGACCTATCCTACATGCCAATAGGGAAATTACCCAGCTTTGCTCCCACCACCACAAGTTTTGGGGAGGGAGGACTAGAGACCGGCCTAATCTTTGATATTTCACAAAGTGGCTACTCTAAGACTCGAATTCAAGCCAATGGTACTGAAGCTCAAGTGTTTTACTGTTATATCAGGAAACGGCCCTAACCCATCCTACATTTTTTTTTTTTTTTGATAAGTCCATCCTACATGCCACACGGACATAATTGGCATGATCATTTAGACCATTCTAATGCATGTTGGGGTAGAACTGATCTAATGTATAAAATTTATATAAATATCCTAAACCTAACAGAGCAATGAAACTTCCATTACAGTTTAATGCACACTAAAAGACATGTGGGAGCCAGAACAAAAATCCCACTAATCCTCTCACCAGATTAATTCCATGAATCCTAATATGCCAAACATTCAAGCACTTCTAATGTTAAAACTATTCATGACTGAGATTATAAGAAAAATGCCTATACCATATATTTAAAATAGAAGTTTGTCGGTTCATCCTGCATTTTTATTTAAATTAGTTTATTGTACTTCAGTAAAAAAAAAAGTAACTTGAATAAAAGTTCAGGATGACAGTAACATAACCCAAGTAAAAAGGAATAACAATAGTGAATAGTGTTGTCGTAACATACGTGTCTAAAAATTGAATGTATCCATAACCAAATGGAACAGTTTTTTGTGCCAAAGCCTCAGAAATTTCACATGGGAGCTGGAAGTCCACAAGCTGCTCTTTTTGCTTCCATGCTGTAAACCAACGAAGTTCCCTGTAATTTCCATCATTTGCAAGCCACATCTTCGGCCTTATCATGATAATTTTCCTGTTCATACATAATAATTGACAGTTGTAACGCTCTGATCCTTTGATAACAGGCATACCAAAGCTACATAATATGCCATCAGTCCAATCACCAAGCAAAATATCTTTTAAGCACTCCCATCTGCAAGTGAATTACCCAAATTGTTAGAACAGGAAAATAAGCCATAGCCACTAAAAGGCACTCAAGATCTTCAACAAAGTATTTTCTTGGCAACAACTCGTCAAATAAGTAGGCATTATATTTAGACGCAATGTGTTAATACTGTAAGGTGGAGGCATCAATAAACATTGACCATACCAAAATTAACGATTTCTTAACAGAAAAGTGCCATTATTGATATTTATGCTAGAATGTCTTATTTGCTACATATGCTCTCTCAAATATATATCTATGTGTGTGTGGGAAAGACTAGAAAACCTGTCAAAATGATACCAATTACCAGATATCACAAACTTATTGTCAGTTTGTCATAGAACATATTGAACTGAATCAAGTCCCATGTAATAAACAAATATCCAATTCTTCAACTGTAGCATGTAGCTCAGAATATCCTTCTAATACAAAACCAACTGAAATAATTTCATGAAAAAAAACAAAATTGCAGGACTTAATAACAAAATGCCTATACATAAAACATACACAGAATTAAAGCCTAAAATTCACACAATTAATGCTCTTTCAAATGGGAATTGGTCCAAAATCAACTCAAATTTTGTTCTGTGAATTCAAAACAAAGAACCAAAAGTAATATATATATATGATAGAACTTACGCATGATTAACAGTATCAAGTTCCAAGAAATGGTCTTCGCAACTATAGCCGGTAATCTCAAGCTCAGGACCAAGCCTAATGACAGCCCCTGCATCTTTAGCCCTAGAAATAGATTCTTTTATGTTCTTCATATTGCAATCGAAATCCAAAGCCCATTGATTCAAATTGCAAGTAGCAACCTTCAACAACCTCATCTCTCCAATAATCTCTCTGTTTGCACACAACACTACTCAGTCTCACTCACTCCTATATACAATTATATATAGAGAATCTATATATATATATATATATATATATATATATATATATCAGATTGAGAGAATTGTAACTGTGTAGGCCGTTTGTGGAAGTGGATCACGGGGTCGGCGACGAAGGACAGAAAGATTTATGGCCGTTAGATTATAATCTTAGGGATCAGATTCTCTCGGAGGAGTCGGTATTACAATAACATTGGAGAACAAGATTTCACTTTCGACGATATGTATATATATACACAAATATACTTTGCACACACTATGTATATACATATATATTGTTCTGTATTTGTTGTGAGGTTTGGGTTGGGTGTGGAATGCGGAGTCTAGTCCAGTGCACCATTGGACGGTTTAGAGAGTCAAATGAGAGCTTTTGACACGTAGAAGAAGCCCAGAAGTTGAATACTACGCTCCTCTGACATTCCATATTGTTCAATCTTTTACGTCAAATAAGGTAACACTCGTGGAACAATAATGTATAAACGACCATCCTTAATTTATAATGTCACAAGTCATAATTATTTTTTATATAACTTTAATTTTTTTTTTTTAATACTTTCTTTACTATTTTTATTTAAAAAAGTTAATTTTTTTTCAGTCATATCAAAAGAGGAAACAATTTTTTTTTGGTAATTTTTTATGAATCCTGTCAAAAAATAATAATAATTTATTTGATAAAAATAACTTCTTCTTTTTTTTTTTTCCTTATCAAAAGAGATAATTTATTCAATAGATATAATTTTTTTTTTGACCCTCTTCCTTTCGTACTTTTTTTAAAAACAATTTTTGGGAACTTGACAAAAGAAATAATTTCTTCAATAAATATATTTTTTTGTTGGGGTTTTTTCATGACAAAAGAGATAATTTTTTTAATGGTTATTTTGTATTTTTTTGATTTGGTCAAAAGAGGCAATTTATTCAACGTAATTTTTTTTTTTTTGTTTTTTTTTCTTGTCAAATAGACCTAAAATATTAAAGATTAAAGATAATGAGAGGAAACTAAAAGGGCAGTTGTGTCATTTAAAAAGTAATAATTATTTAATTGTAAAATTAGAGTTAAAATTATCATTTCATTTAAGATTGTAGTGCACATGTTAAAAAGTGGGGTGTTAATATCGTCTCCTTAAAATAATTGCATTAATACTTTAAGTTGTTGCATTATTGATTTAAAAGTACAAACAAATATATTGAATAAAAAAAATGGTGAGAAAATCTTGATTAGCTGAATATGATTTTGACATAAAATTTTGACATGTTAAAAGCTTCGGTGGAAATCAGTGCCCACTTAACCACTAGGGGGTGGAGTCACAATTTTAGTTTAGGGAGCCAGTGTTAAAAAAAAATAATAATAAATAAAATAAAATAAATCTATTTAAAGGAGTAGAAGGGGAAAAAATAAGAAAAAGTAAGAAAAATGACAACTTAAAAAGAAAAAAAAATACAATTTAATAAGAAAAATTTAACTTTTTTTTAAAGAATTTGAAGAGTAAATTAGGAAAAAACTGGAAATTTAAGATAGAAATTTAAAAACTAATAATTTTAGAAGGGGCATAATATATATATATATATATATATATATATAACTACCATATGTATAGTGGGCGGGTAGGCTGGGGCAAGTGTCCCCATGGCATACACCGGTTTCGCCCCTAAGGGCAGAAACGATGGGTCAAATTGTGCAATAGAATTTTTTGGAGGAGTTTGATGAGTGCGGTGTGAGCTTGCAGCTTTCATTTGTTGGTCCATTTGGAAGAGTAGAACTGACCTCGTTTTTAACCAGATTAGAAGGGATCCTTTCGAGGTGGCCTAGAAGGCTCTTGGATTTCAACGAATTTTAGGAAGTCTCTCTCCCCTCTCCTCCTACCCCACTTCCTTCCGAGGTGATTGCCCCTAAGGGAATTCTCAAGCTCAACTTTGACACTGCCTTTAATTCCTCCTCCAAGTCTTATGGCGGGGGTATGATCTTGAGGAACCATCTAGGCCATCCAATTAAGATTGCTTCGATTTTTTTTCCACAATGTCAATTGCCCTTCTTTGGCTGAGGGTCTGGTGCTGCGAGTTTCTCTTCTTCTTTTTTTGAAAAACTGGGGATACCATAATGTGGTGGTCTTAGAGGATGTCTCTTTTCTTCTTTCTGTTTGTTTGGGATACCAAAAAGGCTCTTGTCGTTATTAGATGCTCTTATGCAGAACTGTATCGTTTCTCTCTTTGAATGATATAATTTTTCTGGTTTGGTGCCAAAAAAAAAAAAAAAAAGACACTGGGCCAGGCCTCTCAACTTATAGTCTCTTAAATTAGGCCCCACTGATCATCAAATATATTCTCTCTCTAAGTAAGCCCACTTTACTGCTTTATTCGGTAGGAAGGAAGGAAGGAAGTAAGAGGTGTGGACGGAAAATAGGAAGAAAAGAACAAACTAGAGAGGAGACAATGAGAGAAATGATGGTAGGAGTGATCAATCAATCCTCATCCTTTGTAAATTTTCAACCTTCCAAATATGGGTGTAAGAAATGAGGGAAAATAAGTGGGGTTATTATAGAAATTTTACTATCCTAAATCATACAAACATAATAAATTAATACTATGCTTGTGACGACCCTAGTTTTCAAGCTAGTGCGTCCTGTGATGAATCAAAGTTTGACCCGATAACAGATCCGAATGCGGAAGTGAAAACAAAAAATCAGTCTCTAGAGATACAATTCATCTCTAAGACGCCAAAGTGACCTTCCATGAGGCCACGGATCTCAACAAAAACAAAGCGGAAGAAAAAGATCGGAAAAAAAACTAAATAAGCCCTCAAGGGCAAAGTAGTCTTTTTACATAGAAACGACGTCTTTAGAAATGTACATGTAACACCCCCAACATTTTCCACGCATAAGTTGATCAGGCTTATACATGAAAAACGAGGGATATCAAAAATAATTGGTAATATACAAGCATGGAATACAAAATGATGATAATAAAAGAATTTAGACAGGAAAGGAACACTAAATAATACAACATCCATCCATCCTTTATTTAATACAGTACTCCATTACAACTTGGAAATCCTATGTCAAGGATCCCTAAATATAACCCTGAGAGTTCAACGTCAAAAGTAAATAAAAACTGAAACTGAAGTAATACATAAAACTTCTACCCTGAACTAGATCGTAAGAGTAGATGAGTTCGGATGGTGGTCCCTCACTGCTAACCTTAACCTTGGAACGGGTACTGACCGTATCCTGAAATAACAACAATGGTGGGTCAACCCCACGAGCAAGTCCTCTCTACTATGACCCAAATCAGAGAATCAAATAAATTAATCATTAAGAATCGGATGAGTACTATATCTGTATACATCCTAAGGGAACTATCCAATGTATAACATGACCTCAACCAGAATAGACGGTGATCACTTACACTCACACTAGGTGGTTAAGTGTCGCCTTTCCCTACCCGGGAAATCAGCTATTATACATGGTGCACATTACTGACAACACAGACTATAACGAACTACACAGTGATAACACCTCTCAAAGTACTGATGAATATACTGAGCATATAAATTAGGCAACACATGCCAATAATATTACTAAACATACTGAGCATGTCAATTAGGCAACACATGCCAATAATATTAAACCACATACCCCGACAGCCACACATCTGTCTATAGCAACGAATGCATAAGGTATAAATGAGTCTAAACTTATTAGCCAGCTCACATGGTTCTATATGGCAACACATCCATATAATATAAATGCGACATAATAAACAGTCCATTTATTCCCTGAAATGCACACAGCATAATAATCATGGTTGATATATGATTAACAGTATAAATATCCCATAATATAATGGATAATTTATATGAGGATAACCGTGACATTATTATATTTGAACAGTAATAATGAATACCATTTAATAACATAATAATACCATCTATAGTAATGTGGTCAAATGAGTCACGTTCATATCCGTACGGTAAACGGGCCAATTAAGGTTTAGAAATATTAATCGGCCATAATAATACTTAACGGGTATTAAAATAATAATTTCGTGGCCCGTTAAACCCGTAAATACCAACGCAGTACCTAAAAATCCAAGTTTAAGGTTCTGGAATTTACAAAACAGGCCCTAGGGGTATTCTGGTAATTTCCAGCAGCTGACAGGGCCCCTCACGCGCCCCTACGCGCCGCCCTAAGCTTCCCCACACGCAGCCCAACCTTCCCCACTCTCCCACGCGCCTCCACGCGCGTCTGGCATCAGCCACGCGTGCGCACGCGCTCCCACGCGCGTCTGGAGAGTTCCACGCGCGCGCACGCGCTCCCACGCGCGCGTTGATGGCTTCCTGCTGACGTGGCGTCCTCCGGTTGGTTGGCTGCATCAGCTTTTCTACATGCGTGCCACACCGGATCATCTATCATCTCATCTCACCTAATCCAAGGGTCAATGATCCGGGTGTACCGCGGTAACATGGACCGCGATGCACCGGATCAATCAGCTTCATCTAAGGCCCAGGATGCACGCGCGCACTAACCTACAATGCGCCGCATCACACCGGATCACTTCGGTCATCTTCTTCACTGCCGGTGGCCGGAAACCTCGCCGGAGGCTCGCCGGAAATTGCAGAAAAGCCCCGGAAAAATCTAGAAAATTCTAGAAAAATCCCTAAAGCCTTATTTAATTATTTTCAGCTATATTTTAATTACATAGGCTAATAAATAAATATCTAACCTCTTTAATAATTAAAACACATTATTTTAATAAACTAAAAATAATTTATTGAAATTCCTAGCATGGTTTCTAGTCTCTAAAAACCCGAAATAAATTAAATGAATAATTTATGGATTCAAAGGGGAAAAGTAGATAATAACTTGCCTTTTGGATTTAAAATAAATCCGCCGGTTGCGCGTAGTCGGGTAAATTTCTCCTACACCGGTCCAAACTCCTTTTTTTCTCTCTCACCTTTCTTCTCTTTCTTTCCTCTAACAACAACTCTCTACTATTTTAAATTGGTTTCTAACTTACCTTCTCATCAAACTAACTAATATTTATACAAATTAAAATAATATAAATATTACAAATATCTAAATTTACATTAAACTCACCACATTCCCAACCATATGGCTTCAAGTCTTACCTATAAATATTAATGAAATCCTATCCTAATCTCTAATTTCATCATGACTTATGATTTAATACTATTATTATTATTATAACTATTATTATTATTATAACTATTATTATTATTATTAATAAACTATTATAATTAATATTATTATATTATTATTATTATTAATAACTATTATAATTATTATTATTATTACATAAGAATACATTATATCATCATAATACTTTATAACATAAATATAATACTTTAATTAACTAATATTGCTTAATTAAACATAATCAATAAATAAAATT